AAGTCAGTTCAGTTAACTTCTTTTTAGTTGTTTTCAATCTGTTTATGGGAGCTAAGTTCAATTAATTTCCCCTCAGAATTCAGTTCAAGCCAGTTTAGCTCTTGATTTTTGTTTAGTTCAGTTAATCTCTTTCTTTTAATTCAAGTCATTTCAGTTAGCTTCTTTCTAGTTCTTTTTTATGTTTATGGGAGTTCAGTTCAGTTCCACTCCGAATTCAGTTCAAGCCAGTTTAGCTTTTTCTAGGTCTGTCCATACTTTGATTTTTAGTTTAGTTCAGTTAATACATTTGATTAGATTCAAGTCAGAATTTAGTTCAAGATAGTTCAGTTATTTCTAGTTATTTGTCAATCTTTTTATGGGATTTTAATTCAGTTCAGTTCCAGTTAAGCTCTTTTTAAGTCTACTGATTTCACTGATTTGAGTTTAGTTCAGTAAATCAGTTTAATTCAATTCAGAATTCAGTTAAAGACATTTAGGATCTTTCTAGCAAATACAATTTCATTCAGACATTGTTCAGTGGAATTCAAGCCAGCTCACTTCAGATCTTTCTAGTTTGGTTCAGTTCAGTTGTGTTTATTTCGGTTTGATTTTTTTTTCCACTCAAGAATTCCCCCAAATCTGAAGGTCACTGTGTACTGTAATGCCATCGCCGCTGGAGGTGTCGAGGAGTGGGATTTCGGGTGGCAGATGTTCAAGAACAGTACCATTGCTGCAGAGGCAGAGAAACTGTTATATGGTCTATCATGCTCTAAAGAGCCCTGGCTGTTAAACAGGTGAGTCATGTATACTACATCTTAAAACATAAACTACCAAAAATGTATACTTTTATTCAGTAAAGATGCATTAAATTGATCAAAAGTGACAGTAAAGACATTCTATTTCAACTAAATGCTGTTGTTGTTGTTGTTTTTTTAAACTTATTTATTAATCAAAGAATCCTAAAACAAATATGTGTCCACAAAAATATTAAGCCGTATAGCCGCTGTCAACATTGATAATAATAATAAATGCTTCTTGAGCAGCAAATCAGTGTATTAGAATTTCTGAAGACTGGAGAAAATTCAGCTTTGCATCACAGGAATAAATTACATTTTAAAATATATTCAAATAGAAAACAGTTATTTTAAATTGTAATAATATTTCACAATATTAATCTCTTCACTGTATTTTATGAACAAATAAACGCAGCTTTGATGAGCATAAGCTTCTTTAAAAAATATATATAATAAAAATCTTACTGACCCAAACTTTTGAATGGTAGCTTATATTTTATATGACGGATGTCCGTTTTTTTAAATTAATTAATTTTATTAATTTAACTAAGTCTCGTACATGTAACGTATACTCATTTACTTGCCTTCTGTTTTCTAAAGGTACCTGGAATACTCAATAGATCCAAACCTGATCAGGAAGCAGGACATTACCTACGCCATTGTGTATATTGCAGACAATGTAATAGGGCAGCCGTTGGTTTGGGACTTTGTCAGAGCAAACTGGGAGCATATAACTAAGGAGTAAGTACTGTATTTCCTTCTTTGTTTCTAAATGTATATTTATATTCTCTACTGACATTTTCTATCATGGGATCTCCGTAGTTTTGATGATGGATCCTTCTTTTCTGGAGGTCTGATTAACGGCATCACAAAAAAGTTTTCCACAGAATTTGAACTGCAACAGGTTTGTGCTATTTGATTTGAATAAGAGCTTGTATTTGCAAATGCAAAACATATATTATTACACTACTGTTTAAATGTTTAGGGTCTGTACGATTTTTC